AATACTTAATCTATTGATTGATTAATCTAGATTAAAATACTACAAAAGCATATGATAAAGTAAGCCCTCTTAATCCAACTTGCTCATTTATAATGCTAGAAGTTGTAGTTTAGATATTTTTTAAAGGACTGAATGTCTCATTCCATTCTACCAACCGAAAGCCATCCCACTTTGGTATCTATATGATCCGATCTAAATGGGAGGTGGGAGAGATAATTGTCCCCCAAATTTTTATGATTTAATTGGTCTTAGGTTACTAATATTTTTGAAATCATTTAAATTAAATCATCGTCCCTCCCAAATTTACTGATTTAATTATATTTTAGGGCTTTTTTTAATTTTAAAAAGAAAGTTTGACTTCTAATTTTTTGGTATAATTACTCCTTAAGATATTTTAATTTTAAAATAATGAAATTAAACCAGAACTCCTTGAATTTTTAAAGAAATTAAAATATCGACAACTACAACTAATAAGGATGCATCACATATTTATTTATCCATGTCACGGATGCCATCATCTGCCACATGCCATATTTTTATTGGTTGGCATTGTCATATTTAAACAACGTCAACCTAGTAGAGGTAAACTAGATCGAAATGGTATTTTAAGTAAAATATCAAATAGAATCAAAAAAGAGACTTAGGTACCAAAACTAGGAAATGGATATAACTTGAGGATCAAATAGTGAATTAATCCAAAAAAATACAAAAACAAATAAACAGTATTAATTAAAGGGATGGAAGTACCCTTATTTCTAGGGGTGGGGGTCCAAATATGGAAACTGTGTGAAAACAACATGCAGATAAATGAATGAATTGGCAGATGATCTAAAAGCCTTGACAGTCTGCTACAAAAAAGTGGTCCTTGGATTCCTCCTAAACACAGAGAGGGCTACCCTGCTCTTCTATCGTTTTGATCGGCAAATAACATATTGTTTTTATTCATTAGGTTCCCCTTACTTCTTTCTTCTTATGCTTGTCTTTTGGATGTTTCGATACAGTTAAAACATCAAACTACACAGTCCAAAACTTTTTTACATTAAATTCAAATTTTCCTTTTTTTAAACCTGTATTTACTTTTTTATTATTATTTTCATTCCTCATATTATAATATTAGTAATTAATATTAAAATTTAATTTTTGTAATACACTAAAACTATTTTTAGATATCATGTCCAGTATATTCTCAGTGTATTTGTGTTAATTTTTCATATCATAGCAAAATTAAAATATATCTATTGATATGCTAGTAATTGACATTATATATATTGGTTTTCTAATTAAAAAATATATATAGGTTTTTAATATATCATGTATTATCTTTCATAATTCATTATATTTTTTAACCCTACAAACGAAATTACATTTCTCATAACTCTTTAATTCTATTCATAAAATTAAAAAACTCAACCGTAAAATAATAATCTTATATTTTATTTATTTTCTTTCTCAATATAAAAAATAGTAAATCTATTAGACATTTTTGGGTTTCTTAAATGCATTTATTTGCCAGTGCCACTCATTCAAGGTTCATCTCCCTGGGCCACATGTATGCTTCATGTTGAATATGATTTCCTTGCCACTTTCAAATCAGTTGTTATTTTGTAGAATAAAAAATAGAAAATATTTTAAAAAGACTTCAAGTACACTCTTTTTACATTTTCGTTTTAAAATTAGCTTTGAGGCCGATTAATGTTTGTGAAATCCAATATTGTGGGTCAAAATCCCACTATTGAAACTAATAGTTTAGACTATTTTAACATATCAACTCAGCATATAGTATTGCTATGATTATCATTTAGGCTATTTTTCTATATGTCTATCATTTCATCTCATGAATTATTATTATATTGCTTAAAAGATACCAACAAAAAATCATATATCCAATTTAAAAAATGCCTGCTCACCATTTTCTTTTCAATAATTCAATAAGTGAGCATGGTACTTGTCTGCATGTTAAGCTATCTCAAATTTTTGACATAGTACTCTAAGCAAAAATATCCCCTATATATATATAATTTTAAATAAAATAGAAAATATTACATCAAATTATTATGAGAAATTTAAAATTAATATGTTAGGAATAATTCCCACGTCGGAACTGAAAGTCACATGGAGATGGATAAGCGAAGCCACATGGCAAGCATACTTCAATAATAATGAAAGTCTATGCATAAGTAACATCTTAATGCCTTTGTACGAATAACATCTCTTTCATCTCCACCTCCATATGTTCTTTCTTTTGTCATTTTCATTTCTGATCCCTCTTTAGTTTGCCAGGATACACTTATATTTGTATCATCTTGATATTATTTTTCGTGATATATATCATGTATCTTGATTGTTTTCGGTTTATTATGCTCAATTCGTTATCTATTTAACATTATTTTGACGTATTTTCAAATATTTTTATCTCATGTGTTCACGCTATGTTCGTTTTATTTTCCATATCACATTTATTTTCTTAATATTCTTTCTGCATATTAAGAGTAGGGTAAAGTACACAAATAGCCCCTTGACTGTATGATAATGTTTTATTGAGTCTCCCGACTATTAAAAGTTACAAAATGATCACCTGACGATTCATTATGTTCCAAACTCGTCCTTTTTTATTAAAAAATTAACAGTCGTCTGAGCTGGACGTTAACATGATGCCAGAGATATGATAGTCGTTTGAGATTATGATATCATATTTTATCATATCTCAGTAAGTAGATTGACGTCAAACTCAGGCGACCATTATTTTTTTAACAGAAAATGACAAGTTTGGAACATAATGAATAGTCGAGTGACCATTTTGTAATTTTTAATAGTTGAGGGACTCAACAAAGTAACACCTTATAGTTGGGTGATCATTTTGTAACTTTTAATAGTTGGAAGACTCAACAAAGTAATATTCTATAGTCAGGGGACCATTTATGTATTTTACCTTTAAGAGTATGGTAAATTTATTTCATGTAGATTTTAATATTTTGACGTATTAATCTTATTGATGTTATTTTTCGCATTGAATCATATTTTATATAATTTATTAGGTATAATATTTTAGTTCAGATGAGTAATTTATGTTCATGATGTTCCTCAATTTATTGTATATTTTATATAATTTGTCATATTAATTATATAAATTAAAAATATTTGTTCATATTGTGTTATTTGTTCAGTGGGAGTGTCAAGGTTCCTTAAATTTTGTTACCATCCGTCTCTCACTATAATTATAGGTGATGAAATTCATCGATAGCATATAATGTTTATTTATATACTACAATTATATCAAATTAAAATTTGTATAATTTTGTACGAACCAATTTATTTTTATGGTTAAAGAAATCCTTATTGTTTATAGAGGTCACGGGTTGAGTACCAACGATTACAAGGGTGGTTGAGCGTTTATTGTTGGATGATTGAGAGTACTTAGAATAGATATTACTTTGTAATCACGTTTAGTTTAATAAAAAAAATAAATTGTATAACTTTTTACAAAGCACTTTTACATTTGTTTTTCCGAATGGAAATGAGCCTAATAAACGGAGTTAGGCAAATTTATAAATCACTTTTATATTTATTCCTATAAAAATTATGAATATATGATGTAAATTTTTTTAGTTCTATACTAATTTAGAATAGTTAGATAAGTGAAAATATATTATAGAGATTAACTATTTATTATTTTTTTCGGTGAATATTTTCTCATTTTTTACTATTAATTTCAGTCATTTATCTTTGTTCATCTAACTGTCCTAAATTTGTATAAAGTTAAAATAGTTTTATATTCTACAATAATATCATATCCCATATATATATATATATATATACATAGTTGGCGCGAGACTGCCAACGGTTGGGCCGCAACAAGCTCGAGTGGTAAGAGTTTGCAATGGTCAAAAACGTACGCCTCTTTATTTAATAATCTTTTGATTTGGTTTTCTTCTATAAAATAGAAACATCCGACTCTTTGATTCTCTTCCAGAAAAATATACAGAAAGTGATGTCACATCATTCGATGGATAAATCATCGCACAATAACACTTTTTGACGAGCACCTCGCGCTAACTTGCATGCTGCATTTCGGACCCTTTGCATGTCTTACGAGAAAAACAGAACTTTAGGATGTTCAATTATCATATCACCCGATCGATAAGCTTATCGCAATCATACGTGAAGCTTTGTGTTTATAAACGAGGGATATGGATGTGTTCAACAGAACAAGTTCATTTCTAGTACGTATCTTCTTTCATCCATGGCTTACTTTGAAAAATACCTGACCGAGGTCGATGTTAAGAAGCAAGTGGCCATTCCGACTGATTTCGTCAAGCATCTGCCTGATTACGAAGGGGGGTATACAATAACTTTCCCGGTCCGTGATGTTTCCGGTAATATTTGGGAGAATTTCGGGTATTATATCAGAAGAGAAGGGAACGATTATACTAAACCGGTTTTTCAAAAAGATTGGCGTAAATACGTTCGCGACAAATGTCTCAGCCCCGGTGACAAAATTATTTTTCGAATCGGCCGGAGCGACGTCGATGGTGCTCCGATGTACACGCTTGCAGCACAAAAGAAGATCGAACTTTTTGGCTCCACCGTTGGCTGGACCAAAGAGTTTGTCATTTTAATCTTTAGTGTCGTATTTGATTTTGATAAATTCCTTCAGTATCACGTTTGTTTTACAGTTCATATTCAGGGTCTGTGACGTCTGTCCCAACAATATCAAGGTTTGTTTTACGGTTTATGTTCATGTTTACGATCGTCTCTCCCAACAATATCTTAACCAAAGTTCAAGAGTACAATGTTCCATGAATGATCGGTTTTGGATCAATGGAGAAGATGGAAAGCATAGATACATACATTCAAAAACACAAATTAACCAAACAGCAAAATATGATGTCAAAGGTGGGTAATTTCAAGATCACTATGCGAGTAAATTTTACAATAGGCAATAGAACCATGTGAACTAGGTTCTCGTTTTAACCTTTAAAAATGGTAAAATAATGGTACAGTAAATCATATCGGCCACTTACATCATCGGTGAAAAGAAGATTTGTATGTTACTAAAATCATTTGTAGAAGACAAAAAAGATGTCTACCATGGCAGCAAGATCAACTTGCAGAGTAAGCAGTTCTCTGAAACACCTAGTCCAGATCAGAAAAATCCATGTGAATTTAGACCGAGAAAAGCTAATTATCGTCCGATGGCAACGTTGAACTATTTGAGCAGATTTGTTGCTCATGGAGTTCCAATAGCTTTGCCTCTGGATTACATAGTCCTACAAAACAATAGTATTAGAAACACAACTTATCTAAAGATTCCGAAGCCATTGTTCTATGACAACCATTTTCAGCTTAAAGGATTCGGAAATTTTCCATTGATCAATGATGAAATATGTCAGTATCATCTACAATGTTGAACATCCGTGGATCACCTGGTGTACCTGCCATATGACTGACCGAAACATACTATGAAAATTTGTGGCAAATATAAACCATTTATGCCACGAAAATCCTCAGGGATAGTGTAAATTACAGTTGGCAAGCCTAGAATGACTATTGGTACACTGGTTTGTATGCTTTAATCGCCAACCTGAACATTTGGGGAGATCCCAGACAGCTATAGATGTCTGCGAACATGATGTCTCACACAAATTCCGGTTATGCTCATGGTTGACATTCATCGCAAGCATCCATGCACCAATTGTAACATCTTCATTACTAAACATTCGAAAACTGCAATTTATACAAAATATATATTGGATTAAGCCAATCTCATGAAATGAGTAGTCAAAGAGAAATAACATGTTGCAAAATATATATTGGATTAAGCTTTCCAAATATTGAACTATTCTTTAAGAAAATCTACAGTTTCCATTATACACAACCCCTCAACCTCCTCAGTCACAACAAAGGAGGACGGAAAGAAAAAAAGTTTGATCAGAATACACAATTTTCGGTTATATTAGATGCCTCGATAAAAAAGAAGAAGCTGGTCATGACACAATAGTTCAAAACAAGAGTTCAAACAATTGAATAACATTTTAGACTAAGCATGTTGAGTTTGAACGAAGGATTGAAATTAGCCAATGTTTGGAGGGAAAAACCTACATTGACGGCACGTGAAACCCTGATCCGAAAATAGAAAAGGTGGGGACAAGAAACATAAGAAAAGAGAAAAAGGTTTAACAGAAAATTATGAGATTGAGGACAAAATTCCAGTGTACTCTAAAAATTAGGCGCTTTAGGAAAAAATTTGTCTTTATTCCTTTTCTTTCTATTTGATGGCGAGTAAAGTGAGAAGAGTTGTTGGGAAAAATTGTGTTACAGTGATCATTTTCAACATTCCAGAGTTTCTTCATCATCAAGGTCTTTGGTTATTTTTAGATAAATATGGCGAGGTGGTGGATTCTTTCATCCCTAATAAAAGAAGCAAGGGAGGAAGTAGGTTTGGCTTTGTTCGTTTCACCAGACTGGAGGATGCGAGGAAGGCTATCAACTGTGTTGATAGATCTTGGATTCAAGGTAACAAAGTTAGAGTTTTCATGGCAAGATATCATCCTCGTGATGTTTTCTGGAGGAAGAAGTTCTCTGATCCATATCAAGTCGAGGGCAAGAGTTTAGTGGAGGATGATAGTCATACTGAGGCTCCAATTGTTGGTTCGGTTGACGAGGATAAGCTCTCAACTCTCAAAGACAGCTTGGTTGGATGGTGCAGAAATTTTATTAAGATGAAAGAGTTGGCTGCCATTATGCATAAGGAAGGCATTGTTGGTCCGAAAATTATGAGATTAAGTGGGCTAGCAATTTTAATCTTATTTGAAGATGCAGAGAGTAGGGACTTTACTCTACATAATCAGATTGGGGCGTTTGAATAAATGTTTCGACAGAGTGGAAGATTTTAAGTGCAGCAGTCGTCGGGCATGGCTTTCGTGCAAAGGGATCCCTCCGTTTATGTCGTGTCTCTCCACCTTCAAAAATATTGCACTCAAATGGGGAGTTCTTATTTCCATTGAGGAAGGGACCTTAAATAACGACTCTTTTGATAGGGCGTTGCTATAGATCATCACGAACTATCAAGCTCGTGTGGAAAATTCCATTGTTTTGAAGGCCGGGGATAGGCTCTTTACAATTCATGTTTCTGAGTTTGAGCCGTGTTGGAGCCTAGAATCTGTCTGGATTGAGTCGTCTTCGATGGAAGAGGCAGTCGCCTCCCCGTTATCCAAGGTGGGGGAGCTCATTGGTGTCTCTCCAATTAAGTTTCCCGAGTTGGAGGTGTGTGCTGAAGAAGCTAGTAGAAACGTTAACTCATCGGAGGTGCAGTGTCCCAAGAGGTGTTCTGAGGAAGAAGAAAATATTCTCTGTTGTATGGGGAGTGGTACTAGAGGTTGCTTCTTGTCGGGTGAGGGCGAGGAGGACAGGAACATAGGTGAGGAAATGATGATGGGTCTGAGGAGCGCTGTTGTGGGTCAGGGGACGGTTCATTCGCAAATTGAGGAGGTGGGGGAACAAGAGATAGAGTTGGCGCACGCGGAGAGAGAAGCAGTGGATGTATATAAGGATAGGTGTTTGTCTGCACGTGGCTATGAGGGTTCGAAGGATTATTTTTCTAATTTCCCCATGTTGGATGGTCGAGTTGAGTCAAAGGGGGTGGAGGATGTGCTTAGGGATGACAAACGGGTACAATTTCATGGATTCCGCACTGCACCCGCTCCAATTGGGGCGGGGATGGGTATAATTTTAGTGGGTAGTGGGCGGGTGTGGATTTAGAAAGTGGTACCCGTCGCGGGTAGTGGGGGGTAATGGGTTTGAGACCTTACCCGCCCTGCATCCGCCCGCCCCACATCAGCCCGCCCAACTAAATATCCATTAAGTTTTGGACCATTATGAATTTAGGTGTAATTTTAGAGACTAATTTATAAATCCTAATATTTTACAAGATATAACTTGTAATTTAACCAAATATTAGGGATATGTTTATGCATTTGTGTTAATGTGAGGTATATGAATTTAATATTCGTTTCATCGGTTTGATAATAGAGCTTGCATTTGTCGTCTACAAATAGGACAATTTAGCAGTTATCTTGATGGGTTTGATTGCGTTTGTATTTCACATTACCAGTTTACCGACTTTCATCTAGTTTACGAGGTTGTTAAGATTCTCTGCCAAACTTGAAAGACATGGAGTACCCACTTCAGTTTTCATCTTCACAATAGTACAGGTTTCAATTCGAACTGCACTCTATTACTCCATCTTCAAAATTAGCCTGATTTTACTGCCATCTTGTTCTAATAATCTTGAACTTAGGCTAGAAGTATTTCTACTTTGTGAGATATAGTACTATATAAAAGCCAATAACTTTCCTAACTTGCTTATAAGAAGTATTTTTTCTGCTTTATATAGGAGACCTTCTTGTCCGATTTAAGAGATTTGCAGCTTGAACTCTGCATTACAGCAACATATGGGAATATTTTACCCACCAAGTTTCTCAACATTCCACTATTAGGTTAGTCCATGATGGTTTTGTTAACGGATTTGGAGTTTTTTGTTTCTGCTTCTTTGTCATATCTATGTTTGTGCTTACCTAATGTTTGCTCTCAAGTCAACAAACACTGCAACTATTTTTTCTTGCAACTTATAATGGTCAATTGATCTTTATAATGTGATCTTTACGGATTCAGCTTTCCACCAAATGCTAGACTTATAGTTCCTTTCCTGGAGTAATATCCCACATTGGGGAAGTACATGAGTGGACTACTTATTTGGCATTATAAATAAAAGGCAACTACCTCCTTTCAACATACTTACTTGGACGGGATCAATGGACAATCAGCAAGGCTCATGGCCTAGGTAAGCGACCTCCATTGCACTTGGGAGGGGCGCTCGCCTAAGGTCTTCCCACTGTTGGAGAGCCTACGTCATAATTTGTGGTAGTGGGTGAGTTTGAGCTTGAATCGAGCTTAAAATCGAGCTTCAATTGAGCTCTTGAAATTTTTTGAGTTTGAGTTTTTCGAGTTTGAGTCGAGTTTCCATATTATATTTCAAGTTCGAGTTGAGCTTGATAATTTTTAGCTCGCGAGTTTTTCAGTCGAGTCGAGCCTACTTTTAAAGTTTTCGAGTTCGAGTCGAGCTTAGCAATACTCGAAGCTCGACTCGGTGGGCGTGGGGATGGATTTGAGAATGTACCCGTGTGGGCAGGTGTGGATTTAAAATTTTTTACCCATCGTGGGTGGTGGGCGGGTGGTGGATTGAAAAATATTAGGTGGGGATGGGGGAGGGGGTATCCGCATCCGACCTGCCCGTTTGCCATCCCTAGATGTGCTTAAAGAGGGCCTTATCCATTGCACTTGGGAGGGGCGCTCACCTAAGGTCTTCCCACTGTAGGAGAGCTTACGTCATAATTTGTGGTAGTGGGTGAGTTTGAGCTAGAATCGAGCTTAAAATCGAGCTTCAATTGAGCTCTTGAAATTTTTTTGAGTTTGAGTTTTTTCGAGTTCGAGTTTCAATATTATATTTCAAGTTCGAGTTGAGCTTGATAATTTTTAGCTCGCGAGTTTTTCAGTCGAGTCGAGCCTACTTTTAAAGTTTTCGAGTTCGAGTCGAGCTCAGCAATACTCGAGCTCGACTCGGTGGGTGTGGGGATGGATTTGAGAATGTACCCGTGTGGGCGGGTGTGGATTTAAAATTTTTTACCCATCATGGGTGGTGGGCGGGTGGTGGATTGAAAAATATTAGGTGGGGATGGGGAGGGGGTATCCGCATCTGACCCGCCCGTTTGCCATCCCTAGATGTGCTTAAAGAGAGCCTTATAAATAATTGTGCATTCAATAGATTAAATGGTGAGGCCATGCTGAACCCGGGAACAAAGGAGGTGGAACACGAGATAGTGCTGGTTTTTTAGGAGAGTGAGGCAAAAAATGTCAACAAGAATTGTTGTATGACAGCACGTGCTAAGGAGGGAATGAATGATTTTCTAATTGATTTGCCCATCAAAGGTGGTGCACGATCTTTGAGGGATGATTCATTCTCGCACATTTCCAGGCAGAAACACAGAGTTATGGAGGGGAATTATAATAAATATACATCTCTCCATTCTTTTCATGACAAAAATTCAGCTCCTTAAAGGAAGAATTATCACTGCCGAAGCAAGTTTAAATAGAAGAAGGTTCAACGCGAGGTTCCTGCAGGCAGATTCCTTTATGATTCGGAGTTTCCAGCATTGGGACACAGTCTAAAGAAGGTAAAGATAGACTCCTTAAAGTTAGGGGAAGATCTGAATTTTGAGTCTAAAGGCTTAGTAGTGGTTCTGTTTCCGGAAGATTATGGCAATGGAAGTTTTGGAAGATGACTTACATATGATCTCTGTTTTTGGAGTTGGAAGTTCGGTTGGTCTCCGACGACAAGATGAGCAAGATTTGGCCTTTGCATCCGTTTTATGTAGAAACTCTTGGCCTTTGTGGTTGATCTTGGTGTATATGGATTGAGTCGTTTGTTTTATTTGGCTTTTATTAAAGTTGTTTTGCGTTGTGGTGTCTTTCAGGCCAAGCTTAGGTTTTAACTGTGGTCAGTCTTATTTGAGGCTGTTGTTCTAGCTAAGATGGATTAGGCAGAGTTTATGCTATTATTTAGGGTTATTTTCGATTGTTTTTGGTGTTCTGTTTATGTTGGGGGTGGATTTCTGGTTGTATCTTGTAATTTCTTATGTTCAATGAAATCCTAAGGCACTCTTTTCCTCCTTCCGATGATTAAGGAGTTTGTCTTTAAAACTCCTTTAATCAAGAAGGGGGTTTTTAACGAGGCCTTCAATTCCTATAAAAAAAATGAGATTAGTTCTAAAATAATTAAGAGTACCTGTTGTTCCGCAGAGCAACCAAACTAGCAACAACATCAGCAGAAAGAGCATATATAGGACCATAGGCATGAAGAAAGTACTCCGAGCCTAGTAGATGGGATAGTGGCTCATACCTGCATAATTTAGCTCTAATCACTCTACATACGAATATCTTTGCTAATACAAAGCCGATCCCTTTCAGTGTTATACAATGCTAAATCTTGTATAAAATAATTAAACAGAAAACTTTGACATATTTCTTCAAAAGGAAATCTTCAAATCCTATCCTAAAAGTACATGTACAAGTAAATTGCAGAGGAAAGATATAAATGGGAAAGGTAAGTTGCAAAACATTATGTACTACACATCCATTCCCAACAAAGGAGAGCACAGAGACAGAACATGATATGCATTTGCAATTAAGACGTGTGTAGCCAAACAATGATCACATCTTAATATTAGAGAGTTAAAATCAAAATGCATTGTTTATGGTGAAAACCAGTGTCTTGCATCTTAACCCTATTAGAGTTTGGACTTATTAAAGCTTTTTATGCATATATCACGTACATACCTACATTTATATTCAATGTAGCCCTGCATGTATACAGACATTTCAAGGTATAAAGCACCATAGATCTTATGATATCAATTTTGTCTTTTCTCATGGTAATTCAAAATCAAGGATATATTAATAGCTTGGGCAATTATCTCTAAATGATTATTAAAATAGTAAATGCCAAGATAAAGGTTATTGTAAGTGAAGATTTCTCTGCCTCCTTTGCAGTAAAGATCTGTTGTGGTTAAAATCGAATACCTGGAAAGAAGTAGCTGATATGGACTAAACTTTTAGAAGCTTATTGATAGGGATAACAGATTTGTAGCCCATTTAACTGTTGCGGTTTATAAATTTTACAGGTCCATACAGTCATTTAATACTATCATTGCCTCAAAACTAAAAGAATTCAAACAAGTTTAATTGTGACAATAATTTTTTTCCCACAGTGTAAGTAGTCTGGTTTTAAATTCTTTACGATTAGATAAGGTCTTTTCCTACTGTCATGGCCTTAAAACCAACAATTACAAAAGATGATGCTTTCCTGCTTTTCCGCAAAAATTAGTGGTGTTAGTAGATGTTATCGAACTATTCCTTTACTTTACTTTCCTCATGTTGATTGAATTCATAGTATCAACCAAAGATAACAACTTATCAGCTCTTCTACCAATTTACAGCACTAGGCAATCCCATCAACTGAAGAGAAACACTTATCCGAAACATGAATTAAAGAAACAGTCGAAATATGTAGATATCTAAACCGTCGGTTAAAGAAGTAAATACTCAAAAATACTAACCATTTCAGTTTAGGATTGGTAAATACTGGACCCTTTTTCATGCATCCAATGTAAGTCTGAGGGTGAGAACGTTCTTTTGCTATTAGAAGTGATAGTCGATCTGCAAATCGATAATAGGCCATTGTCAATTAACCACATAAATAATTCATACAAAGGTAAAGAATATCACTGCAACACATGCATAAAAGAGTAGTCACCTGGCCTCAAATATATGTCATCGTCAGCTTTAATATAAAAGTCAGAATCATAGAGTGCATAGGCAGCTTTAAAGAATGCCAACCTGAATCAGACATTCGAAAGTAAGGGATCTTCCTTCAAATGAAGAACAGACCTAATTCAATAACAAAAAAATTCAGGGAAAAAAGAACTCACGTTTTGTGTGGGAGTTTACTGTATTCCTCCTCAATATCTAACAAAATGAAATCATCATATTCTGCTACTTCTTTTCCCAGCTCTTCCATCTTTGATTTATCATTTGTTCTTCCAATTATAAATCTAAAAGCTAATCCTGTTGACTCTTCCAACCTGAAAACATTATACAAATAAAAAAAATTATATATGTATTTGAAGTATTGGGTTAATTGAAACATTATTCATTTCCCCCCCCCCATAATTTCAAAGAAAAATTATAACTTTGCTTTACTAAACAGAGCTTAATTTTTCTAAAATTCAAGATGAAGATTTAATCTCATTTGAAAAATAAATAAGATTACATACCGTTGAAGGCCTTTGCGATCCGAAGGCATCCAAGTCTTCCTCAACGACCGTCTCCGGCCGGCTGAACGGAACCCGGTTTGGATCCCAACAAAGCCCATAACTTTATGCCTTCTGATTCCAGCATCAGCACCTCCAGCATCAGCACCGACTTTATCCACATTCCCGGCTCGCTCCCAAAGAACCCGAACGGTACTTACGTTGGAGAGACAACGGTGGCCGCACCCACCGGAGGAAATTAAAGTGTAGAGGGCGAAGATAAAAGATAAGACGGAGAAGACGATGAGGAGCGTTGATCTGGTGAGGCGCTTGGCCGGCGGCGAAAGGCGGGAGTGGAAGAATTTGGGGGATGATGGCATAACTATAAATTTGATTTGATCTGCCGTTATTAAACGGATCTCTCTCGTTTATGGGCATTCGGGTTTCAAAGAAAGTGACTGCCTTTGATTTATTTATGGATTGTAAAGATAAAGAAAAATAAAAATTCCAACGAGAGCATTGGATTTAATGTAGAAAATTAATTTGGTTTCATTCAAGTCTAAGATTAGATTAAAATTAATTTTTGTTAAAATTAAAAATAATATAATTATTAATATCTAATCTATAAATTAATTAAGGGTAAAGTATAGTAATGGTCACTGAACATTTCTGAAGCTTGCATTTAGGTCCCCCAACTTTTAAAACTTGCAATACAGTCCCCCAATATTTATTCCGTTTGCAATATGGTCCCCCAACTTAAACCACTGTTAGAAAATTAGGGTAAATTATATAAACAGTCATTGAACTTTTCATGCACTTGAATTTAGGTCCCTAACTTTTAAAACTTGCAAAACAGTCCCCCAATAATTTTATTTTCTTATTAAATATAGATGTATAGAAAATATAAATGATTCAATTTATATTTAAATGTATGAATCATTTATATTTTTGATATATTTTGTTTTTCTTGTATAAACTAGTATTTAAAATATATTTATATTTTAATCAAAATATTTCAATATACGAATAAAAATATATTTATATAAATGTATATTTATATTTAGATGTATAAATAAAAAAATATATTCATATATTAATGTATGAATCATTTATATTTTTTGAATATTTTATTTTTAATAAGAAATTAAAATTATTAATTATATTAGAAATACTCAACTTAAGATTATATATATAATCATGAATTATAAATATGAAAAATATAATTATTAAATTTAGTTTAAAAATATATAAATCTTAAATTTATTCTTTTAAAATATTGTATCAACTAATATTTAAAAATATATTAAATCTATCAAACAATTTATCAAATATAATATTTTTTATTGTAAAAAAATATAATATTTTCCCATCATTTATTGCTTTCAAATTTTTTGCCGAAGTTCAAATCTCATTATTTCCATTTTCCATTATATTCTTTTTTTTTCTGGCATTGGTCATACTATTAGTATATGTATTATTGTATATCTCTTAACACAAACGATGGTGTTAGCTTAGTGGCTCCACCCTGTATCTTTCATTTGCGTGACTCAGGTTTGAGTTTGCCCAAGACCCAAAATTTACTTCTTTGTAACTTAATTTTCTTCTAATTAGGTGGTGACATGTGTCACTAATAACACATATCATGATCATGTGTTAACACATGTCAGATCCTGATTAAATGATTAATTTATTAAATTTTATTTAATTTAGGACCAAATTGATAGCATATATAAATAATTAGGTGGTGACATATTTCACCAATGACACATGTCATGATCATGTGCTAACACATGTCAGATCCTAATTAAATGATTAATTTATTAAATTTTATTTAATTTAGGACCAAATTGATTATATAAATAATAAAGACTGAATGTATAATAATGTCAATTCCTTTTAACTGTCACATCATCATTTTTATCAATTGGTAACGACTAGTGGCTTAGTTGAAACAGTTAAATAATTATGTTGTATGATTGATAAATTTAAAAGATCGATGACAAAAGTAAAAAGGGCTAGATAGTTAAGTTGTCAACCGAGTAGTTTACACTTTTATTTATACGTCAAAATAACATTTTATAAATTTAAAATTCGAATTATTTTCAACCTCTTCTATATCCTAACTACTTTTTTTAATTAAAAAATGTCTTCAACAGATAAGAATTATACTATTATATTTATATAAAAAATATGTATCACATGAAATAAGATGAAATTAACTAATAATAAATCTGACATAATTGAATTTAATTGAATTATTTTGGAATTTAAGGTTTAGAATGAAATTGAATTACTTTGGAAATTGGGGTTTAGAATGAAATTGATGACTGTTTTGCAAGTTTTAAAAGTTGGGGGGCCTAAATTCAAGTGTCTGAAAAGTTTAATAACCGTTTATATAATTTACCCTAATTTTCTAACAGTGGTTTAAGTTGAGGGACCATATTGCAAACGGAATAAATGTTGGGGGACTGTATTGCAAGTTTTAAAAGTTGGGGGACCTAAATGCAAGCTTCAGAAATGTTCAGTGACCATTACTATACTTTACCCATTAATTAATTCAAATAAGATACTATATAAATTTATTGTAGGATCTTCCTAGCTCTGTCTATATTTAGGTTAATTTAGATTTAGAATTAAAAGTTTTTATTTTATGATAATAAAGTTTAGGCTTAAAGTTATTTTTTAATAGTGTTGAGTGATTATAAAACAATATTTGTGTAAGATTTTTTAGTCATTGATAATGCATACACTCTATAAATGTAATTGTTTGAATCTAAAATTTATATGAATAACAATATTTTTTTTTATCATTGAGATCACTTAAATATATAAATTGACTTAAGTTAACGCGGGTTAAGTATAATTGAATTGGTTCAAGTTTGGATAAATTAAGAAGGGGATTTTAAATTAGGGTTTGTGTTTAGTTTTAGTTATAATTTGATTTAAATTATTAATTATAATTAATCTAGGATTAGATTAGCTTGGATTAATTAGAGGAATTTGTGTATTTTTTATGTTATAATAGAAATGATGTGGGTTTCAATTAGACGATCATGACTGGATTTTAGATATATAAAATATTGTAGGTTTGAGTGTTTATGATTTATGAGTACTTTAAGATTATAGAAAAATAGAAAATCGATTTTTATAAAGCATCATATGAACAGTGAGCTTATCATATGAAATATAAAACCTAAAAAATATAGAATTATATTAAATATTTTTAAAATATAAATATTACACAACTTTTAAACTCAAGACCTTAATCTTTGTTAATTATGTTCACGATTCATAGTCATGATGATGATAATTTGGATATGATTTTCTTATTTGCATAAAAAGTATTATATCGATAAAATAATAATATATATATTTTGATGTATCAGGCTTTAATAATTTTTGACGTTGATATTAAAATAAAAGATGAGAATAAAATATAGAAATATATTAAATGCTTTAAAATGTAAATATTATATTTATAATTTTACCGGAGTATAATTTAATTAATAATTATTAAAAGAGGTGGCAAAATAAAAACCGTTAATATTAACTATCGAATCCATTGCCGCCATACCCGAACGCTACTGAAATCTAGCCCCTTCCCAAGAAGGGAGCCGAGCCGATCCCTCTAGAATATAATTGAAAAATCTAAAAATGAAATGGGATTATTACAAATACACCACTTAGCTCCTCACTATATTCCATTCGCTCCCAAGCTGCACCATTTCTGTTTCTCTCTTATCAAATCCCTCGTTTCTCCTGCTCAGCCTCAGTGCCTTCAAACACGATGACTAAACAGGTAATTACAAAAATATAGATGATAACTTTTTTTCTACTTTTAAATTTGTGAATTTCAGTTTTATTTTTTTGATTTTTTAGGCTTTGGTACCGATTGCGAACGGGACGGAACCCATGGAAGCGGTGATCACGATCGACGTGTTGCGGAGATCGGGGGCTGACGTCACGGTGGCTTCCGTCGAGAAAGATATTCGTGTTGATGCTTGCCACGGTGTTAAAATTGTCGCTGATGCTCTCGTCTCAGATCGTAAGGATACTGTTTTCGATCTCATCGCGCTTCCTGTAAGTAAATTATTCCGCTTTTTCTTCTTTTTCTTCTTCAGGTTTTACTTTTTGGTATTGAATGCAAAATGCATATATGAAATTTAAAGCAGTAATTGGTTTAAATTTGAAAATTGAGACTTCTTTTTTGTTTAATTATTGTTTTTTTAACTTCTGGAAGTAAACTAATAATTATTGATATATATATTGATATAGGGAGGCATGCCTGGTGCTACCAACCTTAAAGATTGTGGAGTTCTTGAAAGTCTTGTGAAAAAGCAGGCTGAAGATGGGCGGTTTTATGCTGCTGTGTGTGCTTCACCTGCAGTTGCGCTTGGTTCGTGGGGTCTGTTGAAGGGACTGAAAGTGAGTACTAACTGATAACTTGTTTAGCTATTTTATTTCAGAGATCATGGTATGTGTTTTGTTGCATGTTTTTGTTTGCCAGAATGTTGTATGATTGAACTCAGAATTCATGATTGTTTTTGGCAGGCTACTTGTTACCCAGCATTTATGGAGCAATTGAAATCATGTGCAACAGCTGTTGAATCAAGAGTTCAGCAGGATGGCAAAGTTGTGACAAGTCGTGGGCCTGGCACTACAATGGAGTTTGCTGTAACACTGGTTGAGCAATTGTATGGGAAAGATAAAGCTGATGAAGTTTCTGGGCCATTGGTATGTGCACTACTACTATAGTCGTTATTTGTGCATTCCATTTGAAGCCATCAGGCTAATTGGAAGCTCACTAGATGATGCTTCCAATTAATAATACCACTATTTTCTGAAGTTGAATTGATTATCTTCAGGTGATGCGTCCTAACCACGGCGATGAGTATTCAATAACTGAGCTGAATCCTATGGAATGGAAATACAATAATGTTCCCCAGGTGAGGTTTTAGTGCTGTTATTGTTTACAACCCGTCAAATTTTGTATGATATTTGATGTATTGATCTTCATTATGAAGTACATCTATGTGTATATTCTATTGATCTTCATTCTGATGTACGTCTGTGTGTATATTCTTTGTGTTTAATGCTTGATTTCACCCCCTCCAAAACTCTAATTAGGATACTCAAGTAGAAATCCAAATCTTGATTCTAAGGAGTTTCAATGACAAGAAGAATTACTAGTTAGTGAAGTTTAGAAAGAACAGTGTAGTGAGAGGTGACTTGCATCCGTCAATCTCTGTAGTTCTATTTTCTTCTTTGATTCAGAAAGTATCATTTAAGCTCTGAAACATGCAAAGAACACTTGCTCTCCAAGATTGGCTGCTTTAGATACAGATTTGCACTTTTATTTGTCCTTGATATTTTTGCTTCTGTATTTATTTGCATCAGTAGTAGATGAAAGCATAATATTGTTGCATCTCAGGTGAGTTCTGAGACTCTAGGTTCATCTTGTCTTAATTTCATGTAAGCAATGATGGCAATTGCTTTGGTACCAGG